AAAGCAACTGCAATCTCGCCACACCGGGCAGAGACAAAGCCAGGCTGGTTTGCTCTCAAAACACTTGCAGCTGCCGGTCCCCAACGTCTGCAGCGCTGGTGTGACGAAATCCACCCTGGTTACCTGGTAGCAAACTTTTCCAGTCCCGTCCATTTTCGCTTGTGAAGGAAATAGGGGGCTGTGAGTCTGAGAAACGGGGTTTTCCTGGGTCTCTCTGGACCCCACTTTTATAGCCTTGGGAGTGAAGAAGAGGAAAGTTTTCTTTGGCAATGAAGAGATAACAAAGTAGATGCATCTCTCCGCGTATTCATCAAGAACTCTGCTACAGGGAGCAGAGAAACCAGCATGGTGCTGGCTGTTGAAGCTGGTCCCTGGGAGGAACAGTTCCTTGCCTGATGAAGAGGCAGGGCAGAAACCCATGAGAACCTGAGGAGAGCGGCGCTAGGAGTGTCTGGATTTGATCATTGATGTCTGGGTAGTCATATCAGTCTGATAATGTCCGTCTGCAAAGGAATGCGCAGTGTTCCCAGGTGCTTCAGAGCGCTGAACTGACTCACCTCTCTCCTGACCCTCCTGCCACCCCCCAGGCAGATCAGGCAGCTCCTCGCTGATTCCTGCAGCGTGAGGTCAGCTCTGGATGGGGGGTACAAGTTTCAAAGACACTTTCAGCAGGTTTAGATCCTTTGGCTACAGTCTCCAAGCAGCCTGGAGGGGGAACAGAGCCGTTTTGTGTGGGAAGGACTTGGGCTTTCTACTGAACCTTCTAGGAAAGTACAGGGAGGAGTCCTGGGTGGCAGCGATCCGACTGCGCTTGCACAGGGAGGGACATCAAGAGTGGTCTCGAGGAGGTGCATGTAGAAGGCATGCAGGCATGTGCTGTATGATGTAGCACTCTGACCATGCTGCTGGCTCTTAGAAGGACTGCAATCTATGCCCACCCTGTACTTGGGAAAAGATGGCCTTAGGGTGTGTCCTGGTGGCACCTTTGGGCTGGTTTGTGCCAAATCTGTCCATAGTGTGCATCTGACTGCTTGGACATACAGTAGGACACCATGCGTCCTCAGTTTCTTCCCCTTCCAGCGGGCCATGGAGCTTGGACTGAAGATGTTCTTATTCTGTGGGGGGTGCTGTGTCCCTGAGGGGTTGTACAACTGTCCCATTGCTCCTCTGTCCCTGGTGGGTGCTGCACTGGGCAGTGTTACTGGGTGAATGCATGACAGAGTGACCTCGGGTCAAACAAAGCCAACGAAAGGTAATACTGAGATACATGCATGTGCTCTTGGACCTCCCATAGTCCACGTAGACTGCAGCACAAGCTCTTCCCTGTGCCTTTGTGCATGCTTTCTAGGCACTTCTGTGTGTGCATCTCCTGTTGTGGAAGTGAGAGCTTGAAGTCAAGTCGCTTGTGTCTCTTTGACCACTGAACGCCCCCGACAACCCGTATGAACACCTCGTGCATGGAGTCCCAGCTTCATGAACACCCAATTTATATTTTACTTTATAGGGACAATTTGAAGTTGATACTTATTACTCATGTTTCATGAAAGATTTCAAAACCCAACAACTCTTTTCATCGACATCACAAGGAATTTACAGAGCAAGATAAACACCGAAACTCTGCTTTTTCCCTTCATCACTCATCAGTGTTCTCAGTGCTCTGGAATTTGTGGAGAATTTTACAGCATCTCTAAAACCATCGAGTCTCCTCTTCTGGACTTCATTCCTTTCTTTGAGACATGAAATATCATATGTCTTTTCTTTAGATGATTTTCTGCACTGGTTCAATGGTCAAAATAAACCCTATTTTTACTCAATGATCTGCCTTTCCTCTACTGCCTATGATCCCTTTTTTCACTGGAAGTCCCAAAGAGTTTTCACTCTATTTTTGCCTATTTTTTCTACCTGACTTTTGGGGAAATACCGTTCTTTCAGGTCATTAATCTCAGCTGAAAGACCTGGGTTTAGCCAAGGTGTTGCAACCTCCTCTGTATTCTCTAGGCTAAAGGTACTCAAGTACTGACAGTCCTTAGTAATTGGTGTGTTCTTAAGTAAACATGTGAGTCTTCATTTTTTTGCCCGTTACAAAAGCAGGGTCTAGTGAGAAGAGGCATGTCTGTAGACAGGTACTGAGATCAAACTGGGATGTTTGAGTCTGCAGGTAGACAGACTCCTCGAATTGTTCATAGAGATTGTCCTCGTGTGCAACAGTCCGTGCTGCACTGAGCGAATGCTTAACACCTTGCTCATATCGCTCCTTCGGGTGTTGTTAGTCAGACGAGCAGCCTCACCTCCGTACTCAGCAGAGATTTGTGCTCTGTGGGTAGTAAACCATACCTGTTTCCTTTTCTGGCAAAAACAAGCTTTAACGCTTGCCAGGACTTGCAGGTGAGCAGCCTGGGTTCCCCTTCTCTCAGGCGTTTCTGGGGGAAGGTCTCCCTGTGCAATGCCTGTGTTTGGAGAGCACGGGGTCGCCTGTGATCCTCTGTCCTGGTGTCCCAGGCTGCCCTGAATTCATCCTTGAGCTAAAAACGGATGTATTAGGGGGAAGCATCTCATTGTGATTATGAGTTAGTATAAGCACGGGCAGGTGCGCAGAGCAGGTACTGTTTTCAGAATGAAAACACAAGCACTGCATCTGGACCAGAAAATTGGAATGGCCGGGCAACATCGACCCAGCCTGCTCTTTCTGGTGGCAGCCAGTTGTAGAGCCAGGGAATAACACAAGCATGTAGTGAGTGACGCTGCCCCAACATGTGTCACAGCCCACCCTGACCCATGTCTGAATATGTCCCGAGCCAGTACCAGTACTTTCGACTTTAATTTTGCTCACTTGATTTTTCCTCCATCAATTTGGCTGTTTGGTTTTTGAAACTTCTGGCACCCATAGCATCCTGCAGCAGGGAGTTTTGCAGGTTTACTCTGTTTCACAGGACAGTACATCTTGTTTCTTTTGAAGCCTATGAGTTGCTGTTTCATTTGATGTCCCTAAGGTTCTGGGGAAAAAGGGCAGACTGGTGGGACCACCTGCATTTAGCTCTGGTTTACATTGTCTAGACAAACTTTAAAATGACTTTGTTGTTTATCTGCAGGCTGCTTTTTCTTCTCTCTCTCCCACTTACTCCC